CTGCTGTAATTAACTTGTAATTAACTGGTAAAATATTATAAACACAGGTCATTTGAGGAACACTTAAATTGGAAATATGGTACAGTAACATTTAATGTGAAATGCTGAAAGAAAAACTTCAAATTAAGGCCTAGGGAAAATATATCTAAAAATAGTCTATAGTGCACTTCCTACTGCTGAAAAATCTATTATTTCTTACTTAATGCACTGGATCAGAATGTACTTGAAACCACTTGGAATATTACTAATGCACAATGGAATCCTGTTCCACAAAACACCACAAATAAGCTACGAGTGTTGAGTGGGCAGCCAAATCTTCTGTTTTCAAGTCACTGAAGGTAGCAGTGATTAATATACAGTGTTATCCCCTTAAAACACTGTTATTTTCTAGCAAGGTAAGTACCAGCTATAATTTACTTAGCTCGGGGGTGCAGGATATCCAATACAACATTAGCCAACACGAAAAAACGGAAGGAATCGTGAGGAGGGCTGAAACTATGGCTTTGTTTACATCTGGAGATGAGAGTGGGACTCCTTGCAGCAGCCTCATGAAGCCTGAACTGACGCCACGGGCTGCTGTGACGTCATGGAAAGTCGACGGCAATGTTGCTGAGGCGATGACATTGCGATGATAATAGCGAAAGAACACAGGTGGCATGTTGAAGTGTCGACAGATGTTCATTAATGGGTACTGGAACAGTAGCAATGATAGTAGCGTCAGTGATGGCATTAATAATGGTGTCAGTGATGGCATCGATGTTGCGTCACTAGTGAAACACAGAATAACATCAAATGTTCAGATAACTGCACAACACATCCAGTGAGCAGTACATGCAATAGAAGCTGGAGTCGACACTTGGCGGCGACGACAGTGGCTAAACAGTACAGACGAAAAAACACTTGGAGCAAGTGGACTGGGCCACACTGGGCGGCGGAAATTCAAATATAGCTGACACGGAAACTATTCTCTCCCTCTCCCTGATGGAATGTTCTTGTTGCTAATTATCATGCCTGTCTTTGAGAGTGTTGACCTAGAGCAGTGGTTGATTGCAGGACCCTGGACCGGTATGAATATTGATGACACACAAGTGCAGTTGTGGCAGGTGGCTTTGCTGGCTGTGGCAGCCTGAGTAGACACATGGGTTTCCGGCTGAGAAAGAAATTCTCAGTCCCATTGCTGCTACCAGTTTCGTGCTTGTTATTCGGTTGTTGATTGAGTCTTGCTTGGGTCTGCAGTCTGACTTCTTGGACTTTGTTGGTTGAGGTAATACAATACAATACAATACAATACAATACAATTTTATTTAGGTAAGGTACATACATACAATAAATATTTACAAGGATTGTTTGACTTATAGGTAGAGCTAGTACATACAATGCCTAAAGCCACTATTACGCAAAGCGTTTCGGGCATGATAAACTTAAATGACAAGCTTAATACTAATTGAGCATAATGAGTAGAATGAAAACAAGAAATGAAAACATAGATGAAAAAGCAGCACAAATACAATTATGTCGACAAACAGCGCTCTTTAAAGAAAAAAACAGACATTGGTTGACAATAGAAGGGTAAGGTAGGTTACAGGGAATTTATTAGGTATAGCTTCGCTTTTAACTTAAACTGGTTGAGAGAGGTACAGTCTTTAACATGGTTGGGAAGGTCATTCCACATTCTGGGCCCCTTGATTTGTAGAGCATTTCTAGTTTGATTAAGTCGTACTCTAGGAATATCAAAACTGTATTTATTTCTGGTGTGATGCTCATGGGTTCTGATACAACCTTCTATGAAGCTTTTGAGGTCAGGATTGGCATTATAGTTTAGCGTTTTATATATGTATAATACACATGAGAGAATGTGCAGTGACTTAATGTCTAACATATTCAGAGATTTAAGTAGGGGTACCGAGTGATGTCTGGGGCCGGAATTGGATATTGTCCTAATAGCAGCTTTGTGTTGAGTAATTAGAGGACGTAAGTGATTTTGGGTAGTAGAGCCCCAAGCACAAATACCATAGTTGAGATATGGATAGATAAGGGAGTAATAGAGAGTCACCAGGGCAGGGCGTGGAACATAATATCTGATCTTAGAAAGAATGCCCACAGTTTTTGAAACTTTTTTTGATATGTTTAGAATGTGTCCCTGGAAATTAAGCTTGTGGTCAATGAGAATGCCAAGGAATTTGCCATCTAATTTGTTACAAATTTGGGTATTGTTTATTTTGAGATTTATTTGATTAGAGGATTTATTGCCAAGCAGAATATAAAAGGTTTTGTCAATGTTAAGGGTGAGTTTGTTGGCAGTTAGCCACAGATGGACTTTATTTAGCTCAGTATTTACTGTGGCATTTAGAGCAAGGGGATCAGGACTGGAGTAAATGAAGGTTGTGTCGTCAGCAAATAGAATTGGTTTGAGGTGTTGGGAGGCATTTGGAAGGTCATTAATGTAGTTGAGAAAGAGGAGAGGGCCAAGTATGCTGCCCTGGGGAACACCAATGTTGATGGGTAGGGTGGGAGAAATTGTATTATTCACAGAAACATATTGGAGCCTGTCAGTAAGGTAGGATTTGAGGTATTGTAGGGAGTGTCCTCTGACTCCATAATGATGTAATTTAAGAAGAAGGTTTTGGTGGTTGACAGTGTCAAAAGCTTTACGCAGGTCCACAAACAACCCAACAGGGAACTCATTTTTATCAAGAGCTGTATGAATCGAGTTAAGCATACTAATAAGTGCATCGTTAGTGCTTTTTTTGGGTCTGAAGCCATATTGGCAAGGGGTAAGTATATTGAGTTTGGCTAGATATGAGTAAAGCTGCTTATAGATTAGTTTTTCAAAAATTTTTGACAAATTTGGCAGGATAGATATAGGTCTGTAGTTGTTAACATCTGTGAGATTACCACATTTGTGGACAGGCGTTACTCTCGCTTTTTTTAGAATATCTGGGAAGGTTTGGAGTTCAAGTGACTTGTTGAAGAGCAAAGCAATAGCAGGGGCTAAAGATCTGGAGGCTTTTTTGTAAATTAAAGTTGGTATCTCCTCAAGGGCACCAGACTTGGTTTTAAGGGAAAGGATTATCTCATTGACGTCAGTGGAATTAATAGGCTTTAGGTACAGAGACTGTGGATAGTTACCTGAAAGATAGTCATTAATGTCTGTACTGGAAGATGGAATATCATTTGCAAGGGATGAACCAATGGAAGAGAAGAACCTATTGAACTCAATAGCAGAATCAGAGGCTGAAAGCTGACCATCGTTATTAGACAGGAGAGTCGGTTTGTTATTTAAAGACTTCTTTGATCCCAATATTTGAGAAATTGTTCTCCAAGTTTGTTTAATGTTGCTCTTTATTTGGGTAAATTTATCTTCGTAGTATTTAGTTTTGGCTCGTCTAATTATCTTAGACAGCAATAATGAGTAATTCTTTGAGAATTCTTTGGAGACAATTCCTAACCTATACTTCTTCTCAAGGTCATGTTTTTTATTAATAGATTTAAGTATTCCCTTTGTAAGCCAGGGATTGTTAAGCCTTTTGGTTGTGACTTGTTTTGTAAGCATAGGACAGTGGGTATTATAAAGGCTAAGAGTTTTTTGAAGAAAAGATTGCACTGCTAGGTTGATGTCCACTATGTTACCTAACTCGGACTCCCAGTTGACATTATCAGCAGCAGTTATAAAATTGTCTATAGCAGTTTCATTGTGTAGTCTAAAACGTATCACTCTTGACTCAAGAGGTGGTTTGCTAATGTTAGTTAAGAGAAATGTGGGGTAATGATCTGTAGTGCTATCGGTGATTATACCTGAAGTAAGCAGAGAGGTTATGTTTGTCCAGATGTGATCGAGCGTCATGGCAGTGCTATCAGTGATTCTAGTAGGTCTAGTGATTAAGGGTATGAGGAAGCAGGAATTCATATAGTTGAGGAAGCTAACAGCAGTGGGGTGTTCAGGTAATACAATATATATCCAGCACACCAGGGTCCTGAGGGCCTGCTCTAATCTAGGTCTGTGTGGGACTGGCGGCCTACATGAAAGCGACTACTGCACTGCTCTGAGGAATAACGTCATGGCCCACTGGCCACAGGATTGGCTATACACCAACCGTCCTGGAATTTAAAGAATAACAGTCCTCTACCTAATTGTACTCACCTAATTGTGCTAGCGGGGGTTAAGCTTTGGCTCTTTGGTCCCGCCTTTTAACTGTCAATCAACGGGTAACCTCGTCCTCTGTGTCCCCATTTGTGTCCCCATGTGTGCCCCTGTGTCCCCATGTGTGCCCCTGTGTCCCCATGTGTGCCCCTGTGTCCCCATGTGTGCCCCTGTGTCCCCATGTGTGCCCCTGTGTCCCCATGTGTGCCCCATGTGTCCCCGTGTGTGCCCCTGTGTCCCCATGTGTGCCCCTGTGTCCCCATGTGTGCCCCTGTGTCCCCATGTGTGCCCATGTGTGCCCCATGTGTGCCTCTGTGTCCCCATGTGTGCCGCTGTGTCCCCATGTGTGCCCCATGTGTCCCCATGTGTGGCCCCTTTGTCCACTACTCCTTCAGCAGCCCTTCTATAACGTCTTCTACATCATATCTACTCTCATATACTCCTGGGGCTGGATTAGCTAAGTAATTTTGTGATAATTTACGAGATCATCGACTTGCCTGTTATCTCCATGATGGTATAGCTTACTGATCACTTTATGAGTTATCTCCATCGTGCGGGGCGCTTATCTGATCAGCTAATGAGGTCAAGAGCAATGAGAGGGCGTCTTCAGCCCAAGGGTATTGCTGATACGGACGACCTCGTAGTCCTTGGAAGATCCTTGTTTAGTAAATACAAAACTATTAAGCCGCCATGTTTGACATACGATGTCCACATCTCGTACAGACACATGTATGTGCTTTGAGAATAATGTCCTGAGAAACAGTAATACTTGTTTCCCATCTACCGTACATACAATCTCTCTTAATGCTTCGCATGACCTTAATCTACTCAGTCTACCGTGTTTTCTACCATCTACCAGGGTCAGCGATGGTGTGTGAGGAGTTCCGGTACCTGATGGACGGGGTTGAGCTGGCCGACAGCTTCAACTTCAACCCTCACAAGTGGCTCCTCGTCAACTTCGACTGTTCTGCCATGTGGTAGGTTGATTGGTCCAGTGTGTTCTCTGGTGATTGGTCCAGTGTGTTCTCTGGTGATTGGTCCAGTGTGTTCTCTGGTGATTGGTCCAGTGTGTTCTCTGGTGATTGGTCCAGTGTGTTCTCCGGTGATTGGTCCAGTGTTTTCTCTGGTGATTGGTCCAGTGTTTTCTCTGGTGATTGGTCCAGTGTGTTCTCTGGTGATTGGTCCAGTGTGTGTTCTCTCTGGTGATTGGTCCATTGTGTGTGTTCTCTCTGGTGATTGGTCCAGTGTGTTCTCTGGTGATTGGTCCAGTGTGTTCTCTGGTGATTGGTCCAGTGTGTTCTCTGGTGATTGGTCCAGTGTGTTCTCTGGTGATTGGTCCAGTGTGTTCTCTGGTGATTGGTCCAGGGTGTTCTCTGGTGATTGGTCCAGTGTGTTCTCTGGTGATTGGTCCAGTGTGTTCTTTCTGGTGATTAGTCCAGTGTTATCTCTGGTGATTGGTCCAGTGTGTTCTCTAGTGATTGGTCCAGTGTGTTCTCTGGTGATTGGTCCAGTGTGTTCTCTGGTGATTGGTCCAATGTGTTCTTTCTGGTGATTGGTCCAGTGTGTTCTCTGGTGATTGGTCCAGTGTGTTCTCTGGTGATTGGTCCAGTGTTATCTCTGGTGATTGGTCCAGTGTGTTCTCTGGTGATTGGTCCAGTGTGTTCTCTGCTGATTGGTCCAGTGTGTTCTCTGGTGATTGGTCCAGTGTTCTCTAGTGATTGGTCCAGTGTGTTCTCTGGTGATTGGTCCAGTGTGTTCTCTGGTGATTGGTCCAGTGTGTTCTCTGGTGATTGGTCCAGTGTGTTCTCTGGTGATTGGTCCAGTGTGTTCTCTGGTGATTGGTCCAGTGTGTTCTCTGGTGATTGGTCCAGTGTGTTCTCTGGTGATTGGTCCAGTGTGTTCTCTGGTGATTGGTCCAGTGTGTTCTCTGGTGATTGGTCCAGTGTGTTCTTTCTGGTGATTGGTCCAGTGTGTTCTTTGGTGATTGGTCCAGTGTGTTCTCTGGTGATTGGTCCTGTGTGTTCTCTGGTGAATGGTCCAGTGTGTTCTCTGGTGATTGGTCCAGTGTGTTCTTTCTGGTGATTGATCCAGTGTGTTCTCTAGTGATTGGTCCATTGTGTGTGTTCTCTCTGGTGATTGGTCCAGTGTGTTCTTTGGTGATTGGTCCAGTGTGTTCTCTGGTGATTGGTCCAGTGTGTTCTCTGGTGATTGATCCAGTGTGTTCTCTGGTGATTGGTCCATTGTGTGTGTTCTCTCTGGTGATTGATCCAGTGTGTTCTTTCTGGTGATTGGTCCAGTGTGTTCTCTGGTGATTGGTCCAGTGTGTTCTCTGGTGATTAGTCCAGTGTGTTCTTTGGTGATTGATCCAGTGTGTTCTCTGGTGATTGGTCCAGTGTGTTCTCTGGTGATTGGTCCAGTGTGTTCTCTGGTGATTGGTCCAGTGTGTTCTTTCTGGTGATTGGTCCAGTGTTATCTCTGGTGATTGGTCCAGTGTGTTCTCTAGTGATTGATCCAGTGTGTTCTCTGGTGATTGGTCGAGTGTTTTCTCTGGTGATTGGTCCAGTGTGTTCTCTGGTGATTGGTCCAGTGTGTTCTCTGGTGATTGGTCCAGTGTGTTCTCTGGTGATTGGTCAAGTGTGTTCTCTGGTGATTGGTCCAGTGTGTTCTCTGGTGATTGGTCCAGTGTGTTCTCTGGTGATTGGTCCAGTGTGTTATTTCTGGTGTTTGGTCCAGTGTGTTCTCTGGTGATTGGTCCAGTGTGTTCTCTGGTGATTGGTCCAGTGTGTTCTCTAGTGATTGGTCCAGTGTGTTCTCTGGTGATTGGTCCAGTGTGTTCTCTGGTGATTGGTCCAGTGTGTTCTCTGGTGATTGGTCCAGTGTGTTCTCTGGTGATTGGTCCAGTGTTATCTCTGGTGATTAGTCCAGTGTGTGTTCTCTCTGGTGATTGGTCCATTGTGTGTGTTCTCTCTGGTGATTGGTCCAGTGTGTGTGTTCTCTCTGGTGATTCGTCCAGTGTGTTCTCTGGTGATTGGTTCAGTGTGTGTGTTCTCTCTGGTGATTGGTCCAGTGTGTGTGTTCTCTCTGGTGATTGGTCCAGTGTGTGTGTTCTCTCTGGTGATTGGTTCAGTGTGTGTGTTCTCTCTGGTGATTGGTCCAGTGTGTTCTTTGGTGATTGCTCCAGTGTGTTCTCTGGTGATTGGTCCAGTGTGTTCTCTGGTGATTGGTCCAGTGTGTTCTCTGGTGATTGATCCAGTGTGTTCTCTAGTGATTGGTCCATTGTGTGTGTTCTCTCTGGTGATTGGTCCAGTGTGTTCTTTGGTGATTGGTCCAGTGTGTTCTCTGGTGATTGGTCCAGTGTGTTCTCTGGTGATTGATCCAGTGTGTTCTCTGGTGATTGGTCCATTGTGTGTGTTCTCTCTGGTGATTGATCCAGTGTGTTCTTTCTGGTGATTGGTCCAGTGTGTTCTCTGGTGATTGGTCCAGTGTGTTCTCTGGTGATTGGTCCAGTGTGTTCTTTGGTGATTGATCCAGTGTGTTCTCTGGTGATTGGTCCAGTGTGTTCTCTGGTGATTGGTCCAGTGTGTTCTCTGGTGATTGGTCCAGTGTGTTCTTTCTGTTGATTGGTCCAGTGTTATCTCTGGTGATTGGTCCAGTGTGTTCTCTAGTGATTGATCCAGTGTGTTCTCTGGTGATTGGTCGAGTGTTTTCTCTGGTGATTGGTCCAGTGTGTTCTCTGGTGATTGGTCCAGTGTGTTCTCTGGTGATTGGTCCAGTGTGTTCTCTGGTGATTGGTCCAGTGTGTTCTCTGGTGATTGGTCCAGTGTGTTCTCTGGTGATTGGTCCAGTGTGTTCTCTGGTGATTGGTCCAGTGTGTTATTTCTGGTGTTTGGTCCAGTGTGTTCTCTGGTGATTGGTCCAGTGTGTTCTCTGGTGATTGGTCCAGTGTGTTCTCTAGTGATTGGTCCAGTGTGTTCTCTGGTGATTGGTCCAGTGTGTTCTCTGGTGATTGGTCCAGTGTGTTCTCTGGTGATTGGTCCAGTGTGTTCTCTGGTGATTGGTCCAGTGTTATCTCTGGTGATTAGTCCAGTGTGTGTTCTCTCTGGTGATTGGTCCATTGTGTGTGTTCTCTCTGGTGATTGGTCCAGTGTGTGTGTTCTCTCTGGTGATTCGTCCAGTGTGTTCTCTGGTGATTGGTTCAGTGTGTGTGTTCTCTCTGGTGATTGGTCCAGTGTGTGTGTTCTCTCTGGTGATTGGTCCAGTGTGTGTGTTCTCTCTGGTGATTGGTTCAGTGTGTGTGTTCTCTCTGGTGATTGGTCCAGTTTGTTCTTTGGTGATTGGTCCAGTGTGTTCTCTGGTGATTGGTCCAGTGTGTTCTCTGGTGATTGGTCCAGTGTGTTCTCTGGTGATTGGTCCAGTGTGTTCTCTCTGGTGATTGGTCCAGTGTGTTCTCTGGTGATTGGTCCAGTGTGTTCTCTGGTGATTGGTCCAGTGTGTTCTCTGGTGATTGGTCCAGTGAGTTCTCTGGTGATTGGTCCAGTGTGTTCTCTGGTGATTGGTCCAGTGTGTTCTCTGGTGATTGGTCCAGTGTGTTCTCGATGGTGATTGGTCTAGTGTGTTCTCTCTGGTGATTGGTCCAGTGTTATCTCTGGTGATTGGTCCAGTGTGCTCTCTCTGGTGATTGGTCCATTGTGTTCTCTCTGCTGATTGGTCCAGTGTGTGTGTTCTCTCTGGTGATTGGTCCAGTGTGTTCTCTGGTGATTGGTCCAGTGTGTTCTTTCTGGTGATTGGTCCAGTGTGTTCTTTGGTGATTGGTCCAGTGTGTTCTCTGGTGATTGGTCCAGTGTGTTCTCTTGTGAATGGTCCAGTGTGTTCTCTGGTGATTGGTCCAGTGTGTTCTTTCTGGTGATTGATCCAGTGTGTTCTCTAGTGATTGGTCCATTGTGTGTGTTCTCTCTGGTGATTGGTCCAGTGTGTTCTTTGGTGATTGGTCCAGTGTGTTCTCTGGTGATTGGTCCAGTGTGTTCTCTGGTGATTGATCCAGTGTGTTCTCTGGTGATTGGTCCATTGTGTGTGTTCTCTCTGGTGATTGATCCAGTGTGTTCTTTCTGGTGATTGGTCCAGTGTGTTCTCTAGTGATTGGTCCAGTGTGTTCTCTGGTGATTGGTCCAGTGTGTTCTTTGGTGATTGATCCAGTGTTCTCTGGTGATTGGTCCAGTGTGTTCTCTGGTGATTGGTCCAGTGTGTTCTCTGGTGATTGGTCCAGTGTGTTCTTTCTGGTGATTGGTCCAGTGTTATCTCTGGTGATTGGTCCAGTGTGTTCTCTAGTGATTGGTCCAGTGTGTTCTCTGGTGATTGGTCGAGTGTTTTCTCTGGTGATTGGTCCAGTGTGTTCTCTGGTGATTGGTCCAGTGTGTTCTCTGGTGATTGGTCCAGTGTGTTCTCTGGTGATTGGTCCAGTGTGTTCTCTGGTGATTGGTCCAGTGTGTTCTCTGGTGATTGGTCCAGTGTGTTCTCTGGTGATTGGTCCAGTGTGTTCTTTCTGGTGTTTGGTCCAGTGTGTTCTCTGGTGATTGGTCCAGTGTGTTCTCTGGTGATTGGTCCAGTGTGTTCTCTAGTGATTGGTCCAGTGTGTTCTCTGGTGATTGGTCCAGTGTGTTCTCTGGTGATTGGTCCAGTGTGTTCTCTGGTGATTGGTCCAGTGTGTTCTCTGGTGATTGGTCCAGTGTTATCTCTGGTGATTAGTCCAGTGTGTGTTCTCTCTGGTGATTGGTCCATTGTGTGTGTTCTCTCTGGTGATTGGTCCAGTGTGTTCTCTGGTGATTGGTCCAGTGTGTTCTTTCTGGTGTTTGGTCCAGTGTGTTCTCTGGTGATTGGTCCAGTGTGTTCTCTGGTGATTGGTCCAGTGTGTTCTCTAGTGATTGGTCCAGTGTGTTCTCTGGTGATTGGTCCAGTGTGTTCTCTGGTGATTGGTCCAGTGTGTTCTCTGGTGA